ACCTCCACAACTGACCCCTCTACTTTCTCTCCATCTACAAGCTTCATTTTGCTTTGCTTTCCTCCTAATCCAGTTTAGATTCCACAGTATGTTTTTTCAATTACATCCTGGCTAGTATTGAAACTTCCTTATCCCTAAATGTGTGAGCCACAGTCATCTGACGAAACCCCAAACCTGGATCAACTGTTTTCTCCATGCTTACATGCAACACTGTTGGAGAAAATGAGAAAGTCAGGCAGATTGATTCTGCTAAAAAATGTTGAACCTCATCCTCAAGTGGGCCCTCAACACTGTTTGCCAACCTCATTACATTTCTTAAGTCAACTCCCTCTCACAGTCTCTATTACGATTAATTCAAATGTTCCCACTTACCCTTAATTCATGTTTTCATTCAGTGACTATTCATTGCACACCAGGCACTGCACGCTATGCCAGGCACTGCAGACTATACCAGGTCTGTTGATTCCTACTTCATAGAGGAAATAAAACCCCTCCAAGCAGAATTCCCTCAATTTACTCTTTCCAGTCTTTCCAACTGACCTTCTGTGCTTTGCAGTAGAAATGTTCTCTTAACTGTCAAGTCAAAATTCCTCTCTCAAAAATGAGATTCCCTTGTTAATAGGCAATTCCTTCCTTGTCTTAGAAAAGTAGTAGATGACTGTAATTTTAAATGTGTATTTGAACAAATCCTTAGCTACATAAAGATAAGCAAAGATATGACAGGCAATTTAATTTTTATGAAGAAAAAACTTATTATATCAGACTTACATATCATTCTAAATCAGTACTTTTGTATCTATAATCAGACAACATTTAATGAACTGAAAATTCTGCCTGCGTGAAACTAGTCATAATAAAATTAGACTTGGTTTGCTGTTTCATGGAGAACATATTCCAGATGTTTAAGTGATTCGAAGAAAACCCACCGTATAATGGCTTTCTTCAATGTTTTCTCACTAACTGCTTCCAAGCTAGAATAAAACCTAATGCAATCCTGATATCATTTAAATAGCACATTGTATTGCTCAGCGTTAACTATGCTTTTTGACATTTTAGGTATAGTGTTTAATAATTTAAACACAAATTTATGTGTGTCATATTAAAAGCTCTAATCTGTGAAATATAGCCAAACCAATGTCACATCTATTTAAATAGCAAAGTACCTGTGTTCACCCTTTACAGGGTGAGGGTCTTGTGACTCTGTGTTTAGGTGGCCATACTTCTTGTTATGTATGTTTCTGGGCACTGAGATCCCACAGCAGTGAGCCATCCTTGGGTGGTACAGAGCTGCTACCGAAACCTAAGTCAAATGCCAAAGTGAAGACTGGCATGAGCATTCTCCTGCCTCCTTTTCCTTTTTATCTTTCCTACCATCTGTTATCTCCTTTCTTCCACCTTCATGTGTTGAGTGCCCTCATGATTTCTAGACGACTGAAGTCCTTTAGTCTGCTCAGCCCCATCTAGAGATTTCCCTGAAGTAAACCTTTGCCCCCAGTTATCTGTTTATCAACTGACCTCGCACCAATCAAAGTTTCCATTGTCAAATATTTTAACAGAAATTTAGGAATTCAGATTAAACTGAACATTTGGCATTTTTTCCTTTTTTTGTGTGTGTTTTTTGAGACAGAGTCTCGCTGGGTCACCCTGGCTGGAGTGAGTGCAGTGGTGCCATCTTGGCTCACTGCAACCTCCACCTCCCAGGTTCAAGCGATTCTCATGCCTCAGCCTCCAGAGTAGCTGGGACTGCAGGCATGCACCACCACGCCCAACCAATTTTTGTATTTTTAGGAGAGACAGAGTTTCACCATGTTGGCCAGTCTGGTCTCGAACTGCTGACCTCCAAGTGATCCACCCTTCCACCCACCTCGGCCTCCCAAAGTGCTGGAATTACAGGCGCGAGCCACTGTGCCTGGTCTGGGTTGTTTTCTTCATCTTTAGCAGTTGTCTTATTCACAACTACTTCAACAATATTTATTTTCTTTTTCTTTTTGAAGTAGCTTTCCAGAGTACTTGGCCTGGTTTTTATAGAAATCATAACTTTTTTCTTTTCTTTTTAAACTAATATTTTTATGATTTAGGAGATATTTATGAAATTATGTAGTCACAATAGTTACTGGCAAAGATAGGTTTGAGAACATACACACAACTGACGGTTGTAAAAAGTCAACTAATGGGAGCAGAAGGTCCACACATACTGACAGGCACCTCGAACATTTTATTGAGGCTGTGCGAGGTTCCCATCACTGCTGTTTCACAAACAGAATGAAGACTTTGGCTAATTTGGTGAGTCTTAAGTGGAGATTAGTTAAGAGAACTTCCATTATCATTGCTTGAAAGGAGCCAAAAAAAAAAAAAAAAGAAATGACAAGATCTTATGGTAAACTTTAAAGAAGAAAAGTAAATTTTAAAAAGAAAAAAAAAGAGAGGAAAAGGGAGAACGTTGCAATTCATTATGAGTACCAAAACTTATTTTTGAATCCCTTTCATCCTCCAAAACATTGATGCAGGATTAAAATGTGTGCTCAGGAATTTGGGGGAGAAAAATGAAAATCAAAATATTCTAATAAGAGACATTTGAAAATGTACATTATGTCACCTAAAGGGAACTGAAATCTAGATATGACTTAACGAGGTAGGATAATCAGCTTACTGGCTTGAGAGTCTTGCTTATAAAGAGAGATGATTAACATAAAGGACTCACCTGTATCACTGAAAGATGTTGCCTGCTGGCTTGCCCTCTCTGCAGAGGTTCCTATTTACAGTTTCCCCTCACATAATATTTATTTGTGGCTACTAGAAATGCACGTTATTATCCAGAAGAGAATGGTTTCATTTTGTAATCGTTGTCCCTGTCCAAGTTTCCCCCATTGACATTTAAGAAATCTGTTTTCTAACCTTTCTATTATGCGAAACAAAATTATTATGGATCATTTCCTTTTAGAGATAAGTATTCATATATACGGATTTAAACCACCTTTCTCCACGGGCACTTATTCTGATACTTTTAATCCATGTATTCATTCATAAGGAAATGGAATAATATTTAGTATCAACCCCTATAAAACTTTCTGAATTTCACACTGATTCCAATGGCATTCCACTAACACGAAGTTGAATAAAGATGAATACATCACATATGATTTTTTTTGTACGTGTGTGGTCAGAAGGGGTCTCTTTTGTTTGTGTTTATTAATATATAATTCACATACTTTAAAATTCACTCTTTTGAAGTGTACAATTCAATGGTATTTAGTATATTCACAAGGTTGTGCCACCATCACCATTGTTTAATACCAGAACGTTTTCATTATCCTCCAAAAGAAACCCCATGATTGCTTAATGTAATGTTTTTAATGATCACTTTTTAAAACTTTAAGTTAAACAGAGCGATTATCACAATGTCTTATATTATTATCTAAGAACTACATAACAGTCTTATACTCTACACAACACCACAGTTTAGTGAAGTATTCGGGTTGATTTGAGAGGATAATGTCATTCTTATTTTGAATGTACATACTGGCTCCTTTGATTTGGAGTGGGAAGAAATGCAAGACTTATAAATGAGGTCAGTGTAACCCGTGGTTTTATCAACATGGTGAACCAGACAGAGAAATAACACCTGCCCAGATCAAGCAAGTCAAAACAACACGTGTAGTCAAGTAAGTGATGCTGTCCTTGTACACAGACATTACATTACACAAACTGTTCTCCTAAATGAGGGAATTTGTCCCTTAGAAATTGCTTATTGGAACATTTGGACATCATGCATCATGTTAAAGATCCATAAATGCCATCTCGATAGGGTAGATATGATGCATGGTAATATCCTCCCCATATCTGCATAGGGTTCTTCTGCTCAATGGATTGCTGTGATGTATTGCATCAGAGACTTCTGCTCTAGTGCTTCAGAGAGAGCTGAGAAGCCCCTCGGGAGCCTTCTGAAGTCATTGCTACAAAGACTAAAATACCAGGAGATCAGGAAGTCATTCTTAGGACTTGACAAAATATCCTACTCCCTAAATGAAACTGTTATGATGTGGTTGGTGCAAAGTATGCATGCAATATTTTATGACTGAATGTTTCTTTCTATTGTAAAAAAATTAAGGATCCATTTCTGGTTGTGACATGAGTAGAATTTAGAATCCAGCAACAATATATTTTTTCCTGTTACTTTGCCAATCCAGAATTTCTTAGGGGAAGCATATAATATAATAGTTAAGAATATATATTCTAGAGGCAGGCAAACCTGTATATATGTATCCCAGGTTCCTCAATTTTTACCCATGAGAGCTTGGCAAGGTTTGTTTGTTTTGAAAACAAACCTTTGCAAGTTTGTTTTCTCATATATAAAATTATAATTCTCCAACTACTGGCCTCATAGGATTGTTGGAAAGAAATAAAATCAGTTTATATATGGATAGAGCTCATCATGGCATTAGGCACCTAGGAAGTGCTCAACAAATAGCAGTTATTATTCCTCCATTAACAAATATCCATTGTTATAATACTACCATAATAGACTGTTTTAGTCTGTTCCAGCTGCTATAATAGAAATGCCATAAATTGGATAGGTTGTGAAACAACAAAAATGTATTTCTCATTGTTCTGGAGGTTGAGACATCCAAGATCAAAATACCAGCAGATTTGGTATCTGGGGAAGGACCATTCCTCATAGAAAACACCTTCTCACTGCACCCTCACATGCCGAAAGGAGCTAGCTAGCTCTCTGAGGTCTCTTCTGTAAGGGCACTAATCCCAAAAAATCACCTCCCTAAAGGCCCCATCTCCTAATACCATTGCCTTAGGTGTTAGGATTTCTTTTTCTTTCTATTTTTTAGGATTTCAACATAGGAATTTGAGGGGGAACACAAACATTCAAACCATAGCATAGAGCAAACATTACTGGCACCGCACCCTAAAGAGAATAAGCCCAGGTATCAGTTCTTCTTGTTTTAAATATTCTTATCTTCCAATTTGCTTTTGACTATTGTACACAGGCACTTCGAGGAGAAATTGCACCTCTGAAAGAGAACGTGAGCCACGTCAATGACCTTGCTCGCCAGCTTACCACTTTGGGCATTCAGCTCTCACCATATAATCTCAGCACCCTGGAAGACCTGAACACCAGATGGAAGCTTCTGCAGGTAGGCACAGAGTAAACATTGTTGTCCTTTGTTACAGTAAAATAATATACAGATACAATTTGTAAAGAACAATGAAAGTACTTTTTTCATTTAATGTTCATGGTAATATTTGTGAGGATAGGATATTTTATATTAGTTTATAATTCCCATCTAAATATTTTCAAATTATTAATATTAATTTTGGAAGCAATGAAAAGTTAGACTTTAGTATATGTCTTAGTCTGTTTAGTGTTGCTATAAAGGAATACTCGAGGCTGGGTAATTTATAAGGAAAAGGTGTTTATTTGGCTCAGTTCTGCACGCTGTACAAGAAGCATCTGCTTCTAGTGAGGGCTTCAGTCTGCTTCCACTCATAGCAGAAGGCTAAGGGAAGCTGGTGTACAAAGATCACACGGCAAGAGAAGAGGAGAAAAAGAGGGAGGGGAGGTGCCAGTTCTCATGAAAACTGCTAGAGCAAAACTTCACTCACTACCGTGAGAATGGCACCAAGCCATTCATGAGGGACTCATTCCTACAACCCAGACACCTTCCACTAGGCCTCACCTCCAACATTGGGGATCACATGTCAACATGAGAGTTAGAGGGAACATCTAAACTCTGTGTAGCAGTATTCTTACAATAAACATAGAAAATAATGCTGAATCATGATGGAAGAAGTGAATTGCCGCCATGCAGTTCCTTTGTACTCTTACTGCTTGGATTCTTAAAAACATCTTTCCCTTTGGAATCCTAATTTAAACAAGAGTCAATAGTAAGATATGTCCAAAAGTCATTTAAAGAAAGAGCATCCTATCACAAACTTACATGTGAAAGTTTTTTGTAGGTTTGCACAATAAATACAGGGAATGTCAGTGTGCTCAAGGTCACACTTACTAGCTGTGGGACCTGGAGCAAATTACGTAACCTTTCTGAGCCTCAGTCTTTCATCTGAAAAAAAAAATGGGATAATAAAATTATCTACAATATCGTTTATTATTAGCATGAATAAGTCAAAATAAATGGAAAGTGCTTGGAAGCAAACATACCAAATGATAAACACTCTACAAATTCTAGTTCTTGATATTATTATTATTATTATTATTATTATTACAGTACACAGATTTTGGAATCTAACATATTAGCTGAGTGACCTTGAGACCACTTAATCTCTGTGGTTGTCCATTTACTCATCTCCAACATGGTTACTGTAACATTGAATGAGTTAATTCACATAGAGTAATGGTTGTGGTGGAAGAGATGTGTCTACCTTCTCAGTGTGAAGGACACCATGTTATACCCCAACACCCTAAAATTAGTTTAACCATAGAATTAGAGAATCATTTTCTCTCCTTTCCAATTTCATAGGATGCAGAAGGTATGCTCCTGAGGAAATTGGGTTTAAAAATACTTGGTTTTAACTTTTTAATAAGAAAAATGTAATAAACCAGATCACTTTCCTATTGTCAGTCCATTTAGGGGTGTGATTGAAAGCCCTGTTAAAGAATTGCTAGATCTTTAATAAAAATAAGTTGTAAATCCAAGACCTCTTGAGATCTCACATAATTTAATTCTTGTCGTGATGGATAGTCCTGAAGTATTTGTATTATAGATTGTTATAAGTGGCATCGACTAAAGCAAGGGAATATAGTTAAGTGATTATATGCCTTTCTCTGTTTGCTCCATAGTGGTTGAGTACTATTAAAATCTTATCTGTTTCATCCTTAGTATGTTTTTCATCTTAAGTATAAATAAGGAAAGTAATAAATGTCCAAAGGAAACCAATGGCCACATTAGTCCCATTTAAGTGCTCTAGAATTATATTTTATGATTTACTTTAGAGAGTAGATTGTCACATTTGCTTTCAGAATGTGGTAAAAGATTTTTTGTGACAGTGGCATGTAGATTTCCAAATGAGGTCAAAGGATTATGACTAGTGGAAAAAGTTTTTTTTTTTAATCAATGCAGTGATCCATTCTAGTTGCACTTTTATTTGCATGGAGGTATGAAAAACTTTATAGTGGCCGGAGGCAGTGGCTCATGCCTGTAATACCAGCGCATTTTGGGGGCTGAGGCAGGTGGAACACTGAGGTGGGAGTTCGAGACCAGCCTGACCAACATGGAGAAACCATCTCTATCAAAAATCACACATTAGCCGGATGTGGTGGTGCATGCTGTAATCCCAGCTACTTGGAGGCTGAGACAGGAGAATTGCTTGAAGCCGGGAGGCAGAGGTTGTAGTGAGCCGAGATTGCGCCATTGCACTCCAGCCTGGGCAACAAGAGTGAAACTCTATCTCAAAAAAAAAAAAAAAAAAAAATTGTTAGCTTAATATGTAGCCATCTTTACAGTGAATAAAACTTGGTTATAAGTACAGGAAAACACATGTAAGGAGAAGTAAGATATAGCAAAGAGCATTGTAGTAACTATTCGGAGGTCTAACTTCAAACTTAAGTTGAGCCATTATTTAACCATGTTATTGTGGGAAAGCCATTTAACCTCTCTCAGCTTTAATTCTCCTCATTTTTTAAATGAGGAAATTTATTTTGTCTAAGGTCACATCCAGTTCAGTCCTGTGATTCTGTCTCTAGATATCTGGGGGAGATACACATTTGACAGAATTTAGTTTAAAACCAATGAAGTTGCTTTCTTTATTCATAATACAAATGTGGCTTGTTGAAATTATGTTTCTCCTTGTATAACTCTAACTTTTAAACTCTTCATCCCTAAACCCACATATACACAGCCTTCTCCTATTAAACAGTTCAGTTTGTGGTATCTGCTCTATATTGTAGCAAATTTCATGTTTCTATTTTTTAACATGACCTTAAAGATATGCTTAAAACGTGTTTTTAGCAGAAAGCTGATAAATCCAAGGTTTTGGTTTGCGTATAACCGAGTCAAGTTAGTTCCATTCTTTTCTTTGATGATAATTCTGCTACATTATAAATGTGAAGCCTTGTTCAGAAAGAGAAGAAAGCAAGAAATGAAGTTCACATCAAACAATTTTTTCCCATTACTGGAAAAGCAATTTATACGTCCTGTTGAGAATATTTTATATTTAGAACAACGTATGTGAGGCTAAAGCATTTTCCAAGTTCTGTGGCGGGAAGCTTGAGCCCACCACTATTATGACATAATATTTTTTTAAATAGTAAATGTCAAAAAAAGACATTATATTTCTATGAAACTAAAGAATTTAGTCACAATGCTATGTCAATCTTTAAATCGTGATAAAAGCCAAGTGCAAGTTCATCTTTGCCTCTGTCTGCTAAGACAAAGAAAAATCAAAAAGTAGAGAACTGTCCAGGTATGGTGGCTCATGCCTGTAATCCCAGCACTTTGGGAGGTCAAGGCAGGTGGATCACTGGAGGTCAGGAGGTTGACAACAGCCTGGCCAGCATGGTGAAACCTCATCTCTACTAAAAGTACAAAACTTAGCTGGGTGTGGTGGCGCATGCCTGTAATCCCAGCTACTCCGGAGGCTGAGGCAGGAGAATCGCTTGAACCCAGGAGGCAGAGGTTACAGTGAGCTGAGATTGCGCCACTACACTCCAGACTGGGTGACAGAACCAAACTCCATCTCAAAAAAATAAATAAAATAAATAAATAAATAAATAAATAATAAGTAGAGAACTGGAGTAGTAGAAAGGTAGATATAAACCTGAGAAAAGAAAGAGTCTTAAATTTGGGCAAAATAGTGTAACAGAAAGATTAGAGTTACATACTATCAGTCTGTGTGTACTTGATATCAGAATATCCTGGGTTCTTTGCATTATCCATTCATTTAATTTTCAAGGAAAGCCATGCTAGTTTTTTAGCTGTCTGTAATATCAGTCAAAATGGTGAAACCAGTTAAGAGATGTGACCACCAACAATACAGTCAGACCCAGTCACAATTTACCTATGTATGGAATCAATGTATAGAGAGTTCCAAATTGACTTTGAATCTTCTAATAGAAATGTAAGAGACATTGGTTTGCCTGTTTGAAATTTTCTGTGGGAACGAAGTCCTATTTTCTTCCTCAGAGTAGACACATTGGTATGCATGTTACTATTTGACCATTTGACTGTTTGTGGTGTAGGAAACCATCACTCCTTGCAGTTACAAAAAGTTCTCATGTGCATTCTCTCATCTAAGAATCACAACCTTGTGATTTTGTATTATGATTACCTATTATCATTATTCCCTTTTACACGTAAGGAAACCGAGGCTTAGAAACATGAAGTACCACAGTCACAGTCACATAACTTGTATCAGTCAAGATCTGACTCAGGTTTTTTGAACTGCTATTCCCATGCTCTTTTTGTCTCTTCTTCTCAAAGTCCTATTAAGTTTGGACTTAACAAAGCAATGCCGGCTGGGTGTGGTGGCTCATGCCTGTAATCCCAGCACTTTGGGAGGCCAAGGAGGGCGGATCACTTGAGGTCAGGAGTTTGAGACCAGCCTGGCCAACACATAGTGAAACCCCATCACTACTAAAAATACAAAAATTAGCTGGGTGTGGTGGCATACGCTTGTAGACCAGCTACTTGGGAAGCTGAGGCAGGAGAATCGCTTGAACCCGGGAGGCAGAGGTTGCAGTGAGCTGAGATCATACCACTGCACTCCAGCCTGGGCAACAAAGCAAGACACCATCTCAAAAAAAATAAAAATAAAAAAAGCAATACTTTAAAGCTATTTTGGACATACAGGTATAAAATACTTCACTTTTTTACATATATCTTCTTTTTTGAAATGATTCTCAGGTACATTAACTTTTAAATCTTCCTTTTATAAACCAATGGATTAATGAACCCAGTTCAGTGTACCCCTTAAAAATCACACTTGTTTCAAATATAAAATTTTAAAGCATTATATTCCTCATTGCCTTTAGAACTCAGCAATTGTATTAAAATCAACCAAAAATGATTTCAATGAATCAGCTCTTAAAGCCAAACTAATGCTAATATTTGACCAAGTAGAAATGAATATCTAAACCAGGTGAGAAAAAAGTTAAAATGATGATAAACCTTTCTAATTT